AGGAAGGTGACCAGCAGGTGGAGCTGCTGCCCATCAGCGGCCGTCCCTGTGCCCTCCTCCCTCCTCTTGTTACCATAAACACTTGCAGACCTCAGAGGAAAACACTCAACGATTCCCAACCGACAGGGCTGTGTGCTCAGGGCTTCAGAAGCACGCACAGGGAGCGTCCTTTCCTGCACCCGCCCTGTTGACTCTGCCATTTATCTTCCCGGCCGCCCGGCTTCCCGGGGCAGCCTGATGGCCAAGGTGCAGGTCTGGGTGGGTGCCAGGTGCCTGTCCTCCCGCCCGCCCCGGCCACCCTGAGCTGCAGGACACAGACCCGGACGGGAGCCAGCGGCGCTGGGAGTGGCCTCGGCTCTGTTACGCTGGGCAGTGAAATTTCAAAACAAACTCAGCCACGTGGTCCGAGTCAGGTGTGTCTGGGTGACCCCCTGTCCAGACCTTGGCGAGGTCTGGACCTGCCCGCCCAGTGGCACTCATCCCGCAGATGCTGAGGCGGAGCCCAAAATCATGGGACCCTCTGCTGCAGGCACCGGCGAGGCGGGCTGCCAGGGCCGGAGACGAGCAATGTGCATTCTTGGGATGTTTTTTCGTTTAACCGTCTCTCCCTCTCCCAGCCATTTCCTGGCCTCTCGCAGACAAGCGACAGACAAGCAGGTCTGGCGCCGGTCCACGCTGGTGGTTTTCCATGCCGGGGGTCAGTCTGGGATCCAAATCCCCACAGCTCGGCCCCTAGGGGGCCAGGAGCCAGGGGTTTGAGGCCCCGATCCACCCCTTCCCAGCTCTGTGACCTTAGCTAAATTCCTTTAGCATGGTTTCCCTCCTTGGGCATGTTAACATTTGGAAGCTGATGATTCTTGGTCTCAGGGTGTTGGGGGGTTCCTGGCAGGGAGTGGGTGGATCAGAGATGCTGCTCAGCACCCTGTGGTGTCTAGGACGGCCCCACCCCAGAGAGAAGGATCCAGCCCCGATGTCCACAGGGCTGAGCGGGAGAGATCCTGCTGAACGGGAGTTGCAAACAGGTGCTTTTCTGCCCAGCTTCTCCGGCCTGGTTAGCATGAAGCCTGGGGCTACCGGCCGTTGAGCCTAACCCTGAGCGGGCGTTGCTTGTGCATTCCTTCAGCCCTGCAGGACGGGCAGTCTCTCATGGCTGGAGCACCGTTTTCTGTTGATTTATTTATATTCTGCCTCATTCCACAAAGAATCGGAGCAAGCATTCAGGAAGAGATTCAATCAAATAGAAAAACGCAAATCGCTTCCTAAAATAGAGTAGTGAGCAGGGCGAGTAAGGAGTCAGCACCAGGCTGCCCTCGGTCCCCTGGGTCCCGTATCGGGTTCTCTGAGGGTCCCCGGCTCTAACGGGGAATTGGTCCCAGTTCTGCCTATGTCTACCTGAGTCTCAGCAAATCTCTGAGCCTCAAAACCCTCAGACCCTCAAAACCTCTAAGAATCAGCACCCTCTATGATGTCATAATGCTGAATAAGACAAGCGTGAGGCCCGGCGTGGTGGCTCACGGCTGTAATCTCAGCCCTTTGGGAGGCCGAGGTGGGAGGATTGCTTGAGCCCAAGAGTTCAAGACCAGCCTGGGCAACAGTGAGACCACCGTCTCTACAAAAAAATAAAAGAATTAGCCGGGCATGGTGGTGCGTACCTGTGGCCCCAGCTCCTCGACAGGCTGAGGTGGGAGGATCTGGAGCCTGAGAGGTCAAGGCTGCAGTGATCTGTGATCACGCCATTGCACTCCAGCTGGGGTGACGGCAAGACTTCATCTCAAAAAAAAAAAAAAAAAAACAGGGAAAATAACACCATAACATTTTATATAGGGATGTTCTATGTTTTCTTTTTAGATTTATTCCCTCGCTCTGTCGCCCAGGCTGGAGTGCAGTGGTATGATCTCGGCTCACTGCAACCTCTGCCTCTGGCTTGAAGCAATTCTCCTGCCTTAGACTCCCAAAGTGCTAGGATCACAGGCGTGAGCCACCACACCCAGCCAGAAGACTCTAGCTTAGCAGAGTCATGGGAAGACACTCGCCTGCTGGTTCCTGGTATGAAGAAGTGAGCAGTGCATTGTGAGAAGGCCCAAGAAGGGCCTCATAGCGAGGACCCAAGCGTGGCCCCTAGGAGCTGGGAGTGTCCCCCAGGCAACAGCCAGCAAGGAAACAGGGACCCCGGTTCTACACCCACAGGGAGGCAAATGGTCCCAACAGCTTGAGGGAATGCTGGATGAGGAGCCTTCCCCGGCCGAGCCTCGGATGAGACGCAGCCCCATCCAACACCCAGACTGCAGCCCTGGGGGAACCCTGAGCAGAGGCCTTGGCTTGGCTGTTCCCAGACTCCTGACCCCCCAAAACTGTGATGTACTAAGTGGATGGTGTTGGAAGCCACCACATGGGTGGTGATTGGTTATGCAACACAGAGACTGAGCTTACTGTCCCCACAGCCCTAGTCTGCGAGGTGGACCTTGTCCTGACCCTGCCAACAGGAGTACAAAGACTTACTGGAACTTTGAACACGGGACAGCCCTGGTGACTCATGTAGCGTGAATGAGTTAAGAACAGATTCAGGCCGGGCGCAGAGGCCCACACCTGTAATCCCAGCACTTTGGGAGGCTGAGGCGGGAGGATCACTTGAGCCCAGGAGTTTGAGACAAGCCTGGGCAATATAGCGAGACCCCGTCTTTAGAACAAATTTTAAAAATTAGCCAGGGTGGTGCTGCGTTCCTGTAATCTTAACTACTCAGGAAGCCGAGGCAGGAGGATCATTTGCATTCGGGAGTTTGAGACCAGCCTGGGCAACCCAGGGAGACCCCATCTGTAAAAAAAAGTTTTAAAAATTACCCAGATAGGGGCCGGGCGCGGTGGCTCAAGCCTGTAATCCTAGCACTTTGGGAGGCCGAGACAGGCGGATCATGAGGTCCGGAGATCGAGACCGTTCTGGCTAACACGGTGAAACCCTGTCCCTACTAAAAAATACAAAAAACTGGCCGGGCAAGGTAGTGGGCGCCTGTAGTCCCAGCTACTTGGGAAGCTGAGGCAGGAGAATGGCATAAACCTGGGAGGCAGAGCTTGCAGTGAGCTGAGATCCAGCCACTGCATTCCAGCCTGGGCGACAGTGAGACTCTGTCTCAAAAAAAAAAAAAGAAAAAAAAAAAGGTCGGGCGCGGTGGCTCAAGCATGTAATCTCAGCACTTTGGGAGGCCGAGACAAGTGGATCACGACGTCAGGAGATCGAGACCATCCTGGCTAACACGGTGAAACCCCGTCTCTACTAAAAAATACAAAAAAAAAAAAAACTAGCCGGGCGAGGTGGCGGGCGCCTGTAGTCCCAGCTACTCGGGAGGCTGAGGCAGGAGAATGGCGTAAACCCGGGAGGCGGAGCTTGCAGTGAGCTGAGATCCAGCCACTGCACTCCAGCCTGGGCGACAGAGCGAGACTCTATCTCAAAAAAAAAAAAAAAGAAAATTACCCAGGTGTGGTGGTGCACACCTATAGTCCCAGCTACTCAGGAGGCTGAGGTGGGAGGATCGCTTGAGCCCAGGAAGTCGAGGCTGCAGTGAGCTGTGATTGCACCACTGCACTCCAGCCTGCGCAGTGATGCAAGACCCTGTTTCTTAAATTAATTAATTTAAAAGACCAAGTTTAGTTCCCAAGGGTTCCTGGTTTCCCAGACGTGTGAGGGCGGCCAGCAGCTGCTGCAGTGCCCATCCCCCGCCCGCCGCGGCCCGCCCTGTCCTCCCTGGGGTCAGCAAGCATCCAGGGACCACAGCGAACTCTGGGAGGGAGTGGGACAGCCCCACCCAGGGCAGATTCCCAGCACACCGTGTGCAGGCCTGGGTCGAAGGGTTCTGCTGGAATCGACCCGACGTGTTTGTTTTTGCTGCGGTCCTCTGGGGCCATCCGGGCTGCATGCCTGCACGTCATCCGAGGCCGCCCCACTGCGGTGGGTTGGGAAACTCAGTCTTGGATTCCGCCAGTCTCACAAGTCCTGCTCTGGGAGCACGTGCCTGTGCTGCATGTGTCTGTGTGTGTGTGTGCGTCTGTGTGTCTGGTTCTGCGTGTGTCTGTGTGTGTCTGCGTGTACCTGTGTCTGAGCGTGTGTGTGTCTGCCTACGTGTGCCTGCGTGTGTCTGCGTGTACCCGCGTGTGAGCGTGTGTGTATCGGGTTCTGCGTGTGTCTGCGTGTACCTGTGTGTCAGCGTGTCTGTGTCTGCCTGCGTGTGCCTGCGTGTGCCTGCGTGTATGTGTACCTGTGTGTGAGCGTGTGTCTGTGTGTACCCGTGTATGAGCGTGTGCCTGCATGTGTCTGCGTGTACCCATGTGTGAGCGTGTGTCTGTGTGTGTGCCTGCGTGTGTCTGCGTGTACCCGTGTGTGAACGTGTGTGTGTGCCTGCGTGGGCCTGCGTGTGTCTGCGTGTGTCTGCGTGTCCACACACCCTGAGGAGGCGCCCGTTCTGCTCTGTGCACTTCCCCGAAGCTTTCCAGATCACTCCCAAAGGACGCCCAGAAAGACTAGAGCCGGGCGCTGTGGCTCACACCCATGATCCCAGCACTTTGGGAGGCCGAGGCAGGAGGATTGCTTGAACCCAGGAGTTCCTGGCGACAGCAAGGCCCCGTCTCTACAAAAGAATTTTAAAAATTAGGCCGGGCGCGGTGGCTCAAGCCTGTAATCCCAGCACTTTGGGAGGCCGAGGCGGGAGGATCACGAGGTCAGGAGATCGAGACCATCCTGGCTAACACGGTGAAAGCCCGTCGCTACTAAAAATAACAAAAAAAACCTAGCCGGGCAAGGTGGCGGGCGCCTGTAGTCCCAGCTACTCGGGAGGCTGAGGCAGGAGAATGGCGTAAGCCTGGGAGGCGGAGCTTGGAGTGAGCTGAGATCTGGCCACTGCACTCCAGCCTGGGCTACAGAGCGAGACTCTGTCTCAAAAAAAAAAAAAAATTTTTTTTAAATTAGCTAGATAGGGTGGTGCAAACCTGTGGTCCCAGCTACTCCGGAGGCTGAGGTGGGAGGATGGCCTGAGCCCAGGAGGTCCAGGCTGCAGTGAGCTATCATGGTGCCACTGTACTCCAGCCTGGGCAACAGAGCAAGACCCTGTCTAAAAAAAAAGGAAAAGTGGGGAGTACAGGTGACTTGGGGCCGGGAGCCAGCAATAGGCAGGGTTGTGGGCTGGGCAGTGTGGAGGGTATTTCCCCCCAGTGCTGGGAGAGGCGATGGCAATCTAGATATGGCCTTATCAATTCATGTTAGTTACCAACGACTGAAAAAATGCAGACCACCAGGGCATTGCTCTTGTCTCCAGCTCTGATCCGCTGTTGTACTAGGGGGCTAACCAGGCCTGTGTCTGCCTCCTTCTTGAACAGCTCAGTGAATTCATCTAAACAGCCTTCCTACAGCAGCTTCCCACTCCAGGTGGCCAGATGGGAGTTCCAGACCAGTGTTGCCTCCCGGGACATTGACACGGCAGCCAAGTTGATTGGTGCTGGGGCAGCCAGAGTTGGTGTGGCGGGTTCAGGGGCTGGCATTGGAATGGTGTTGGGCAGCTTGATCATTGGCTATGCCAGGAACCTGTCTGTCAAGCAGCAGCTCTTCTTCTGTGCCATTCTGGGCTTTGCCCTGTCTGAGGTTGTGGGGCTCTTCTGTTTGACGGTCGCCTTCCTCATCCTCTTCACCATGTGAGGCTCCCTGGGGGCCACCTGCCTGTTGCTGCTACAGCTCCACACCATTCCTGGGGCTGGGGCGTGCTAAGCTTTACCATTAAACACAACGTTTGTCTAAAAAAAAAAAAAAGAAAAGAAAAGAAAGAGAGAGCTACTCTGTAGGCTGAGGTGGGAGGACGGCTTGAGCCCAGGAGGTCCAGGCTGCAGTGAGCAATCATGGTGCCACTGCACTCCAGCCTGGGCAACAGAGCAAGACCCTGTCTAAAAAGAAAGAAAGAAAGAAAAAGAAAAAAGAAAGAGAGACTCCAACCAGCCTTTCTTCCCTGGTTCCCTGACAGCTCATTGTGCCCCTACGGCTAACAGCAGCTGGAGCTGACAGCCTTTCACAGGGCCTACCAGCAGCCTTGGAGGAACCCCGAGCCGATTTAATAGACAGGACACTGAGGCTCAGTTAACAAGTGCGGTTTCGGACAAGAGCAGGAGAGGAGGTGGAGAAACAGACCCTCGTGCGCAGCTGGTGGGGATGGAACAAGGCCCAGCCTGACGGCTTCTCACATGGGTAAACGTGGAATTACCATAGGCCCAGCAATCCCACTCCTGGGTATAGATCCCACAGAACCGACAGCAGGGACTCAAAGAGGTGTTTGCACACACATGTGCACAGCGGCACGATTCCCAACAACTCCAGGGTGAAAGCCACCCCAGGCGTCCATCGGTAGATAAACACAGCATGGTCCAACCAGACAGTGGAATATTACTCAGCCATGAAAAGGAAGAGAATCCAGACATAGGCTACAGCGTGATGAACCTCGAGGACCTCACGCTCAGTGAGAGGAGCCAGACACGAAAGGACGTGTCCTGTGTGACCCCACTTCTGGGAGGTCCCTGGAGTCGTCAGATTCACAGAGACAGGAAGTAGGATGGGGGATGCCGGGGGCTGGGGAGGGGGACAGGGAGTGAGTGTTTCACAGGGACAGAGTTTCAGTTTGGGAAGAGGAGAAAGTTCTGGAGAGGATGGTGGTGATGGCGGCACAACATGTTAGTGAGAAAAGAGAGAGGGAGAGGAAGGGCTCAAAGGCAGCCCCAAGCCCCATCTTCAGCGTCATATGGGATGCGTGTTCCTGCAGCCTCACCGTTGAGTTTGAAGGCATGATGTCAGAATGCAGGCCCAGCAGGGATCCCCCCACCAGGGAGATGGCGGGGGTGGCTGGCAGGGCGGGTTTCACCTGGACTGCACCAGGCCAGGTGTGACGGGCTCTGGGCCAGACCCAGGCACCCGAGGTGAGAACGTAGCATCTCTCGTCTCAGGATACCCAGGCCTCCCCCGAGGCGGCAGAACTCCGGCCGTACCTCGCAGCAGCTGGTCCGTGGCGCCCACGGTATATCCCACGCGTGCAGTACCTTTCCGGCCTCTTCCAGAAAGAATTTAATTCGCCCCTTTGCATACGACCGTGGGAGGGAAATGCCAGTCCTACTTTTATTGTTTGTTTGTTTGTTTGTTTTTGTTTCAAGACGCAGTCTTGCTCTGTCACCCAGGCTGGAGTGCGGTGGTGCGATCGGGGCTCACTGCAACCTCCGCCTCCCGGGTTCCCGCCATTCTCCTGCCTCAGCCTCCCGAGTAGCTGGGACTACAGGCGCCCGCCACCGCGCCCGGCTAGTTTTTGTATTTTTGGTAGAGATGGGGTTTCGCCATGAACAAGACTCTAATTCTTTCTCCACGTCGGCCAGGCTGGTCTCGAACTCCTGACCTCAGGTGATCCGCCCACCTCAGCCTCCCGAACTGCTGGGATTACAGGTGTGAGCCACCGCCTCCAGCCCCGATCCCACTTTTAGATCGTTCTCCACAGACAGCACAGAAGCGACTTGTCCGAGGCCACGCAGCTGTGAGGGGACAGGGCACACAGAACATCTTAAGTCTTCTAGCTGCTTCCCTCGGACTAGCCCCGCCTCCTCCATCAGTGCAGAAACATGGTTGGGGAGTGGGCTCTGAACCGTGGTCCCCTCAACACCTATTTCATGAAGGAAGCCAGGCCAGGCGTGTGGGACTCAGGTCTGTAATCCCAGCACTTTGGGAGGCCGAGGCGGGCGGATCACCTGAGGTTGGGAGTTTGAGACCAGCCTGGCCAACATGGTGAAACCCCATCTCTACTAAAAATACAAAAAATTAGCCGGGTGTGGTGGCGCCTGTAGTCTCAGCTACTCAGGAGGCTGAGGCAGGAGAATTGCTTGGACCTAGGAGGCAGAGGTTGCAGTGAGCCAAGATTGTGTCCCTGTACTCCAGCGTAGGCAACAGGGCAAGACTCTGTCTCAAAAAAAAAAAAAAAGAAAAGAAAAGAAAAAAAAAAAAAAAAGCAGAAATAAGCAGAAATGTCCGTAACAGGCAGATCCACAGAGAACATGGATGTGTGGTTGGAGGGGACAGGGTGACTGCTAATGCCGACAAGGTTTCCATTTAAGGTGATGAAACAGTTCTGGAATTCAGCCAACACACTGGCTCACGCCTGTAATCTCAGCAACTTGGGAGGCTGAGGTGGGAGGATCGCTTGAGACCAGGAGTTCAAGGCTTCAGTGAGAGAAGAAGGTGCCACTGTAGTCTGGTCTGGGTGACAGAATGTTAACTCTTAAAAACAAACAAACAACAAAAAGACTGGGCGTGGTGGCGGACGCCTGTAGTCCCAGCTACTCGGGAGGGTGAGGCAGGAGAATTGCTTGAACCCGGGAGGCGGAGGTTGCAGTGAGCCGAGATCACGCCACTGCACTCCAGCCTGGCGACAGAGCGAGACTCCCTCTCAAAAAAAGAAAAGAAAAAGTGTTGGAACGAGATAGTGGTGATGGTCGCACAGCTCTGTGAAGGAATTAAAAACTTTCTCGACCAGCCTAGGCAACATAGTGAAACCCGTCTCTACAAAAAATAAATAACTAAGCAGGCATGGTGGCATGCACCTGTAGTCCCAGATACCTGGGAAGCTGAGGCAGGAGGATTGCTTGAGCCCAGGAGTTAAAGACCAGCCTGGACAACACAGCAAGACCCTGTCTCTACAAAAAATAAAAAATTAGCCTGGTGTGTTGGTGTGCACCTGTGGTCCCAGCCACTCGGGAGGCTCAGGTGGGAGGATCGCTTGAGCTCAGGAGGTGGAGGCTGCAGTGAGCTGCGATGGTACCACTGCACTCCAGCCTGGTGGACGGAGTGAGACCTCATCTCAAAAAACAAAACAAAACAAAACAAAAACAAATGAACAAAAAACAAAGAGGGACAATGTGGCATTGTCAAAAGAACAAACAGGCCAATGGGACAGGATAGGTAGGTAGTCCGTATTTTATATGACCCATATAAAATGGTCCACTAGCCGGGCGTGGTGGCTCACGCCTGTAATCCCAACACTTTGGGAGGCCAAGGTGGGCAGATCACCTGAGATCAGGAGTTCAAGACCAGCCTGGCCAACACGGTGAAACCCCGTCTCTACTAAAAATACAAAAATTAGCCAGGCGTGGTGGCGGGTGCTGTAATCCCAGCTGCTTGGAAGGGTGAGGCAGGAGGATCACTTGACCCCGGGAGGCAGAGGTTGCAGTGAGCCAAGATCGCACCTCTGCACTCTAGCCTGGGCAACAGAGCAGGACTCCATCAGAAGGAAGGAGAGAGAGAGAGAGAGAGAGAGAAAGACAGGAAGGAAGGGAGGAAGGAAGGAAGGAAGGAAAGAAGAAAGGAAGGAGGGAAGGAAGGAGGAAAGGGGAGGGAAGAGAGAGAGAAAGAAAGAAGGAAAGAGAGAGAAAAGAGACCACACATCTGATAACTCTTTCACTTAACATAGCCTGCGGGTGCCCTCCGAGCCACCACTGCACACCACCCATCCTAGAAATGCAACGTGGCCTAACCACACCTCTGCAGGCAGATTTGAGATGGTTCCAGTTTGGAAGCGTTCACAGTTCTGCCATCAGAACAAGGATAAGGATATAGGTAGACATCTTTGCCCACATGTCCAACAAGGTCTTTACAATAAATTCCTAGGTACGGAATCGTCACATCAGCAGGTAGCACCTTCTCGGTTCTGACGATGCCGCCACCTTTTCTTCTCAAAATGTTGACCAGGGACCCTCTGTTATCTGTGCTGGACAGGCCCCCATTCCGCAGATCCTAGAAGACACTGGGCGTCATCAGGCTTCCATCCATGACGGTCTGAGGGGCCAGGGTGGAATCTTGTTATTGGTGCATTTGTTGTTGTTTGTTAAAGCTGGACAACTCCGCCAGGCACGGTGGTTCACGTCTATCATATCAGCACTTTGGAGGCCAAGGTGGGTGGATTGCTTGAGTCTAAGAGTTTGAGACCAGCCTGGACAACATAGTGAGACCGCATCTCTAAAAAAAAAAAATACAAACATTAGCCAGGCATGGTGCCATGCACCTGTAATCCCAGCTACTGGGGAGGCTGAGGCAGGAGGATCAGTTGAGCTCAGGAGGTCAAGGCTGCAATGAGCTGTGATCACACCACTGTACTCCAGCCTGGGTGACAGAGCGAGGCCCTATCTCAAAAAATTAAAAAGCCAAACTGAACATCTCTTTTTAGGCTTGGGGGTTTGTTTCCTTGTGTGAATTGTGGGTTCACGTCCTTTACCATCTTTCCACTGTCCGAGGAGGGCTCTCTGCTCCTGGAAAACCTTCCAGTACCTTCCGCTTATGGCTGAGACTTGGCTCCTGGGCTGTCTGTCTGAAACTCCTCCTGGGGCCCACTGTGGGGCTGCATCCTTAGGGATTTAGCTTCTCCTTTGCTCCCATGATCTCAGCTAAGTGGGTGTGGAGATGCCCATTTTACAGATGGAAGAGCAGAGGTTTGCAGGTGCCGCTTCCCCACTGAACACAGGCCCCATCCACATGTGGCTGGAAAGGGAAGTTTCCTTCCTGACCTGAGGCCCAGTCGAGCTCTGTGTGTCTCCCCATGCCTGACTGTCATAGTCCTTTTCGTGTTGCTATAAAGGAATAGAGCGGAGGCTGAGGGGTTTATCAAGCAAAGAGGTTTATCTGGTTCATAGTTCTGCAGACCATACAAGCATGCTGCCAGCATCTGCTGGGCTTCTGGTGAGGCCTCAGGAAGCTTCCACTCATGGCAGAAGGTGAAGGGGGAGCAGGCA